ATAAAATAAAATTAAAATTAAAAAAATAATAAAACCCTGTTGTTATTTTAAAAAATGATTGTTATACATTTATAATGGGTGAACCATATTGTGTAAATTATATTTCAAAAACTTTTATTAAGGGTTCATTTTAATGTTGACACATATTACAGAACTGCCCTTCAGAAAGCGTATACCAATTTACTTCAACACCAGTAATGTAAGAAAATATTTTCCCTCATCTTGAAAAATCTAGTTGATATTAAACTTTTGCTAGGTAAAAATTGTAAGTTTAATTAACATTTTATTCTTATCAGTGAGGACATCTTTTCACATTTTTATGGACTAAGTTGTTTTACCAAAATTCACATGTTGAAGCCCTAACACCAAAATAACTGTATTTGGAGACTAAGCCTTAAAGGGATAATTAAAGTTAAATAATTCAAAAGGGTAGTGTCCATATAAACTAGTAAAAGACACCTAACCCCCCTCCCCTCTCTCTATGAATGCATATAATATAGATCATGTGAAGACACAGAAAGGCAGCAGTCAAAAGAGAGTTCTGGAGGTTCTAGTCTGTGATGGCAAAATGGGAGGCTCCTGAAACAATAACCTCTGGAAGAAATCCAGAAACCAGCTGAGCAACTCCTACACATCAGATTGACAGGAAAATCACACATTGTAAGTAAGGGGCTCAGCACACACAACTACTGGGAGCCACAATGAACAACAACACAAGAAAGCTACATGGATAATCAAAAAGGTTTGGAAGATAACCAAGAGCTAAAGCAGGGTTCAATAGTAAGTTTCTTCTCTTCAATGAGGCCAGTCCTTCAAGACTGGGAGAGGTAGCTGTTTTATCTAATGCACAGAAACTAATGAGGTAAAGAAAAATGAAGAAACACAAGAATGTGATTCAAAATAAAGATAAAACCCCAGAAAAAGAACTCAATGTAACAGAAATAAGTGACTTATCTGACTAAAAGATCAAAATAATGGTGATCAAGATGCTCAGTAAGGGGGTACCTGGGTGGTTCAGTCACTAAGCGTCTGCCTTTGGTTCAGATCGTGATCCCAGGGTCCTGGGATCGAGCCCCGCATCGGGCTCCCTGCTCTGCGGGAAGCCTGCTTCTCCCTCTCCCACTCCCCCTGCTGTGTTCCCTCTCTTTCTGTGTCTCTCTCTGTCAAATAAATAGATAAAATCTTAAAAAAAAAAGATGCTCAGTAAGGCCAGGAGATGATGCATGAACAGAGTGAGAGTTTCAACAGAGACCAAATAAGAAAGTATGAAACAGAAATCACAGAAATGAAGGGGAGCCTGTGTGGTTCAGTTGTTTAAGTGTCTGCCTTCAGCTCAGGTCATGATCCCAGGGTGCTGGGATCGAGCCCCACATTAGGCTCCCTGCTCAGTGAGGAGCCTGCTTCTCCCTCTCCTGCTCCCCCTGCTTGTGCTCTCTCTCTCTCTGTCAAATAAATAAATAAAATCTTAAAAAAAAAAAAAAGAAACCACAGAAATGAAAATACAACCACAGAACTAAAAAATATAACACAGAGGTTCAACAGCAGACTAATGAAGTGGAAGAAAGGATCAGTAGATTTAAACAGAGGGCAGTGGAATTCACACAAAGGACCATAAGGGGAAAAAAATAATAATAAAGATGTGTAAGAGATTTAAGGGATGAAAATCAAGTGGGGACTACAACACCCCCACTTTCATCAATGCATAGGTAATCAAGACATAAAATGAGTAAGTAAAACACCGAACTTAAGCAACATGTTAAACCAGAGAGACTTAACAGTCATAGAATACTGCACGCAAAAGTAAAATACATTTTTCTCAAGTGCACATAAATCATAAAGGGAACAAAAGAAGTCTTAAGAAATTTTAAGAAAACTGAAATCATAGCAAGCATATTCTCCAACCACAATAGTATGAAACTAGAAATCAAGAAATTAGAAATCAATCACAAGAAGGAAACTATAAAATTTACTTATACATGGACAGTAAACAATACACTCACAACCAAACAATGGGTCAAAGAAGAACTCAAAAGAGAAATTTAAGGGGCACCTGCCTGGCTCAGTCAATGGAGAATGCAATTCTTGATCTTGGGGTTGTGGATTTGAGCCCCACACTGGGTGTAGAGGTTACGTAAAAATAAAATCTTTAAAAAAAGAGAGAGAAAAATTTAAAAATATTGAGACAAATGAAAATGGAAAAAAAAACACCAAAACTTATGGGATGCACTATAACACCATTCTAAGTGGGAAGACCATAGCAATAATCACCTAGATTAAGAAACAAAGATTTCATTTTTTTTAAAGATTTTATTTATTTGACAGAGAGAGATGGGGAGCACAAACAGGGGGAGAGGCAGAGGGAGAAGCAGAGGGCAGATGCTTAACCAACTGAGCCGCCCAGGCACCCTAAGAAACAAAGATTTCAGATAGAATTCTGGAGAAGATGGTGGAGTTGGAGGATCCTAAGCTCATCTCCTCCCACAGATACACCTAGATAACACCAACATCAATGTAAATAATCCAAAAATGAACTGAGGACTGGCAGAACAGACTCTCCACAGGTGGATGTAGAGAGGAGGCCACATCAAAAGTAGTAGGAAAGGCAGAGACGTGGTCAGGAACCAAGCTGACCTGAAGACCTGTCCATGAGAGGGAGGTACACCACAGGCACTGAGAGGGGAGAGGAGCAGATCCCACACCAGGCACTCCAGGCATGGGGGGGCCCACATTGGGAAGATGAATCCCCATAGCATTTAGCTTTGAAAACCATAGGGAGATAACTTTGGAAGTTCTTACAATGAGTGGGGCTTAACACTGGGAACTTTAAAAATCAACAGCTGGGGGGCGCCTGGGTGGCTCAGTCGTTAAGCATCTGCCTTCGGCTCAGGTCATGATTCCAGGTCCTGGGATCGAGCCCCACATCGGGCTCCCTGCTCCACGGGAAGCCTGCTTCTCCCTCTCCCACTCCCCCTGCTTGTGTTCCCTCTCTCGCTG